GTGGGTTCCCAGGAGGGAGACCATCAGGCTGGGCTTTCTACATCCGGGGGCCTGGGGGACTCAGAGTCATTTTGTGGATTCCCAGGAGGGAGACCATCAGGCTGGGCTTCCTACATCTGGGGCCTGGGGGGCTTGGAGACATTTTGTGAGGTTCCCAGGAGGGAGACCATCAGGCTGGGCTTCCTACATCTGGGGCCTGGGGGGCTTGGAGCCATTTTGTGAGGTTCCCGGGTGGGAGACCATCAGGCAACTCATCCTGCATTGGGCACCTTGGAGGCTAAAGTCCTAATTTGTGGTTCCTGGGGTCCGTCAGAGGGCTCTTCCTGCTCCCTGGAATTGGGAGCCTGGAGCCGTTTTATGACCTGACTAGAAGGGTGAAGGCCATGCCGTGTTTTCTGAGTGGAGGGGAGCAGTTTCTGGGTCATCAGAGGCCCCTTTAGAAGAGAAAGTTGTCAAACATGCTAGTGTTGACCCTTTGCTTAGCTTTGGAGTTGGCCTTAACTTTGGAGTTGGCTAGGAGCAAGTTCAAGAGTTGCCTAGACAGAAGCTCCTCCCATTTCCATGGTGAAGGTCAGTTGGGAGAGTAGACAGGGGAAGAAGCTCCAGAGAGAGGGGCCTACAGAGTTTCTACTGTGTCCCGGTAGTGAGCACTGCAACAAATGAGGGCCCAGTTGCCCTAAAAACATTGAACTAAGTCAGTCACTGTAGACAAAGGAGCGATGTTTTTCTCCTCTTTGGTTTGTTGTTCTGTTTCTTGAGACAGGGTTCCTTGGTGTGAGATTGGGCTGTCCTGGAACCAGCTGTGTCGACCAGGCTGGCCTCGAAGTCAGTGAGGTCTGCCTGCCTCAGCCTCGCTAGTGTCGAGATAAAAGGCTTGTGCCACCACCTCCGCTCCTCTCAAAGGAGTGACTTATAAGGGGACCGGTTAACCTGACAGTGGCTTTGCATTCAGCTTGTCTGCGGGACCCTGCTGGACTGAAGAAACGCGCTCTGCCTAGAAGGTACCCAGATGGTATTTCCACTGTGGTGCACCTGAAGGAATTCACCTGTTTCCCCTCCTTCCTCTTGTATGTGATGTGCCTTTCCTTCTATTGCACTCTGTGAAGGAGGAGGGGGATTTGTCCTGGGGTAAGGCCTCAGAGATGTAGTGGGAAGGATCCAGGGCCACCAAGGGGAAACAGTCAGACCTCTGATATAAGACATACAAAAGCAGCCCTTGCTGTCAGCACAGACTAGGCCAACTGTGGAATGCAGGTATCACCTCTGACTTGGGGTTGAGGGGATGAGGTGGAGGCTCACAGGTGGCTTGGACCTGAAAGATGGATCTGAGAGTCGGGAAGGGCGTTGTGAGGAACAAGGAGGAAGGAAACTTCAGAATGTGTGAGAAAATGCAGGGCCTGCCCCCTTTGCCCATCTTGAGCAGTAGGGGCCCTGGCATATCCAGAGTGGAGACAAATTCACTTCTATGTCCTTTCTCAAGACTGTGAGCCTTTTCAGCATCGGGGACCACCACAGCCCAGAGGGGAGCAGGCCTGATCGCCAGAGGTGATATCCATTTTCCATCAGGACTCCAGGTGAGCTGTCACGTCGGAAATGAACATGCAAAGAGGGCCCCGTTCCCCAAACAAGAAGACTTCATAAAGCATGGGCACCGCTCTTCTCATGCCGGGCGTGGGAGGGTGCAAATGGGGGCTTCTGTGCCTGGCTTCCTTGGACTGCATGCCTTGGGTTGAGAACTCTACCGGGAATGATGACCTTGTTCCTAGGGTTGATATCAGATCAGCAGTGGCAGCCACGTCTAGAGAGCAGCGGGATTCTGCAGAGTGTGGGCCTCCCCCTGAGGACTGAATCTGAAGGGAAGAGCCAGAGGACCTCACTGGCTGGGTACGACCCGGATTCGATGCCCAGGGGCACCAAGGGTTTGCGTACTTCAGCACCCTAGAGTCCTTGTAGAGGTGGGAGCCCTGTAGAGATGAGCCCTGGACAAGTGGCCATCATGGCTGTTCCCCCACAGGAGTTGATGGGCTGTACCACCAGCTCTTTTCTCCTGAGAGGATGGTTATAGGGCCGCCAGGTGTGGAACTTCACCGGAGCAGGAGACCTTGTCTGAGCCGAGTTCTTGGTTAAGTCAGCCCCTGGGAGGTTCCAGGAAAGGATCCCAGGAGGCAAGTGAAGGAGACAGTGGTCCCTCCAAGGACTTCCCTGAAGCCCTGTCTCACAGACAGTCCTGGGAGGGGCTGCAGGGCTGAGTCTTCTGCCCTGGTTCCAGGGAATAGTCTAAGGGAGCTGAGGGGCCTGCTAAGAGCACCTTGGCCTGGGTCATCAGAGGGAGGCTCGGGTCTGTGAGGAATCATGGTGAGAGTTGAGAGAGTCCCATCAGCCAAAGACAGAGAGTACTGCCTACCTACCTGCCTTCCTGATGGCTGTGGGAAAATGGAGACTTTCTTCCCCTCTCCCATTCTTCTTTCTTTCTTATAGGCATAGTCTCTTGCCTTGAAGACGTGGGACCCAGGGGTCACAGGGAAGCTCCCGGAACAAGCCATTGACATAGGTGAGAATCGGGCTGGTAGACTGTTCTAGACCAAATGAATCACACTGAATCGACCTAGCTCTTTTAGCTCCCCCAAACCCTGCCCCCCCAACAGGTGTCAGGAGGTCTAAGGTGTCCTCACTGCCTTCTGTTCCCTCTCAGAGACACAGAAACTTGTTTTGAGACTTTACCTCACACGAGAAGAAGCACACACCTGGGGAGCTTCCAGCCTCTCAGAGGCACAAGCAGTACCAGAGTCCTTTGGCCATAAGTGCACTCCCCAGGCAAAATCCTGTGACAGGTGCTTTTTGAGAATTGCCCAGGGAATAACTGTCAGAGTCCTCTCATCCTCCCCCTTCCTCCCCCAGGTCTGTGAGTCTTCATCTCTGTGAACCACACCTGCCTGTCCTGCCTGTGTTCCCAAGGGAACTCAGCATGGATCCTACCACGATCAGCCAGGGCCTCCACCTCCCTGACAGCGCTCAGTCCCAAAGGGAGGCAAGGGATCTGGTGGGAGCCCAGGTCCCCATATCTGAGGCAGGGGAGGAGGAGGCCACTGCCACCACCTCGGGGTGTGTGTCCCTTGGAGGAATGCTGAGTTCTCCCCACAGTGCTCAGAGAGCCTCCTCTTCTCCCACCGCCATGGGCTTCATTGCAGTGGCACCATCTGCTCAGGCCTCTGGCAATCAATCTAGCCATGTGGCTAACCCCGAGTCTCCACTGCAGAATGGGCTCAATAACAAGATCGTGGATTTGGTTCTCTTCCTGCTCCTCAAGTACAGGAGGAAGGAGATAGCAACTAGGGCAGAAATTCTGCACATGGTCATCGGAGATCATGAGGTACACTATTCCATGATCTTTACGAAGGCCGCTGACTGCATGCGGCTGATGTTTGGCCTTGAGATAATAGAAAATAACCCTCTTGGGAACCCCCTTGTCCACTCTTACTCTCTTGTCCATGCTCTTGGGATCACCTATGATGGGATGCAGCATGGTTTCCCAGGCATACCCAAGACAGGCCTGGTAATAGTCATACTGTGCATCATCTTCATAGAGGACGACTGTGTCAGTGAGGAGGTGTTGTGGCGTATATTGAATAGGATGGGGCTCTATGCCGGGAGGGATCATTTCATGTGCGGGGAGCCCAGGAGACTCATCAC